CTCATACTTTGACTCTGCATTTTGTTACGACAAGGAAATGCATATATTTATCTATTTTACAGTCACTTAGTTTGAACTAAAAAGGATTTAAGCCAGCCACACAAACTTCCTCTGGATTTCTTCTCTCTTGCAATACATGAGCCATTAATATGATTGATTTACTTCAACATTTTTTTTTTTTGCATAAAACTCTTCCAGTTGCAGGTAGACATATAACCTCACAAACAGAGAGAGCGCCAGAAATGGAAATGAGGTTCCATCACTGCGTCTTTTAAGAAGCTTCGGTGCTGGACTCAAAGACCTCATTCTGAAGTTAGTCAATTCAGATGAATTCCCCCCCCCAAAAAAGTGAATGGGTGTCATTCATGTATCTCGTAACCTAACTGAAGTCGATCCTCCAAATGGATTAGTCTTGTGTTCTTTATAACCTTTTCATCTGAGAATTTACTCAAAAGAGGCTCCTGTGTCTACCTGCTCTTGGTAAGTTCTACCAGCACTATCTGCATGCTGCAATAACACCAACATGCAACTGGTAGTATTTCGTATAGTAAGACATTTCTCCTTTGTGAAGATAAACAAATGTCAACCACGCAGTTGCAGGGATAGAGTAGTAAAATCCAAACTCAAGGGAAAATAGCCCAGACAAACCCAGGGTCTATTTTCAGAAAGTCAAATATTCTCTTCCGGGATGCCTAAATACATGTTTTTTCAATTTAGTGGTTAATACTCTTGCTAATGAAAAAAAAAAAAAAAGGACGTTTTAAATGCTGATCTGCAACCAGCATAAACAGAACCCCCACCAACAACAGAGAAAGCATTATTTAGAAACCAAATGAGACCTTTTCAAGACCAATCCTTTAGCTAACAGGAGGAAAAGAAAAAGGAAACTAATTCACTCTGGACAGTTGCTTTTACTTTGTCCTCAGGCATATGCTCCATCTCCCTTTGTCCCCCAGATGCATTTCCACTGGCCCTGACAGTGCTGGCATTGACCTTGTGCAGCCAAAATAGCTTGGACAGAACGAACCAGAAAAACAGGAGCCAGCCAGAGCAAGGGGCAACACAGCCACGGCCACGGACCTGGGGGAAAACTGCTATAATTAGCAAGGCTCGTACAAAAAACATGATCCTCGTGGAGCTGCTGCCTTCCTGCCCTGCAGTTGAGATAGTTCAGAGCAGAGGGGAGCAGAGCCATCACCTGCAGAACTCTTCACACACCTTGGCCTGATGAGTCACCTAACCATCAAC